TAAAAAAAATATATATTTTAAAAATAAAATATTGAATTATTTTCTTAAATATTCAGTTATATTTAAAATGTTACTTACAATTAATTCAAAGTTGAATTAAGCTTTTTTTAATATATCTTAAACTTTCCCTATATCAGTGGTATTTGCATATCAAGGAGGTGGAGGAAACAGATCGCGGCTGGTACATGTGCCAGGTGAATACTGTAAGTTCGTGAAGTCTGTCTTTAAAGAGCAAAGAAGTTGAATTGATTTGTGCCCGTTGTTCGTTGTAGGATCCGATGCGTTCGAGGAAGGGCTACCTGCAGGTGGTGGGTAAGTAGATTGGGCAGAGCCATGCGCTGACAGCTGGACCGCAAGGCACATAACTGATTCTTTGTCGACGCAGTGCCACCCATGATAGTCGAGGGCATGACCAGCAATGACATGGTCGTCCGGGAGGGGCAGAATGTGTCGCTGATGTGCAAGGCGCGCGGCTATCCGGAGCCCTACGTCATGTGGCGACGCGAGGACGGCGAGGAAATGCTAATTGGCGGAGAGCACGGTGAGTAAACAGCCACGCATCTCACAATCACAATCCCTGCACGCAATTCATCTCCTCAATGCGCTCTCCCCCACACAGTCAATGTCGTCGATGGCGAGCTGCTGCACATCACCAAAGTGAGTCGTCTCCACATGGCGGCCTATCTCTGCGTGGCATCCAACGGTGTTCCGCCATCGATTAGCAAGCGCGTCCATTTGCGAGTTCAATGTGAGTATTTCCAGCGACGAACTTTCGTATGAGGGCTTATATAGAGATCAATTAAATAATTACAGTTCAATTAAAGAAACATAGTTTTAAATAATACAAATTGTTGGCATTAAATTACATACAAAAAAATCTAGGCTAAGAGCTCTTTTTTACAGTTATATAATAATTTATATATTCAATAATTTAGTTTACTTTTTTATTCATGCATACTGATTTTGTTTGTTAGTTAAATCAAAAATTAAAAAAAAAAAAAAAAAAATTGTAATATTTATTTTGTATATTCATTAATATGCTTTACTATTTTATTTATTATTAATTCATTTAAAGATTTATACAATTCATTTAAATATTAGCAATATTTGTAAAGTTTATTTGTTTATTTTTAATTTGTGCTCTGGTTCTTTGTTAATTTCTTAGTTAACATTTTTTATGTAATTATATTTTTGCATATTTGATTTCATCTCTTATTTTATTTAATATTAAGTTTAATTGCTTTCTTCTTAAATTTAATTAATTGTTTTTTTCTCTATTTATAAATAAATTTGAAAATGCGTTTCCTTAGTCATTTAGATATATGTTTATTTTTTAGGTTTTTTTTTTTTTAAATTAATAATTAAAATATATATTTGCTTTTTACTAATTCACTTAATTTTATTTTCATAAACATTTGTTTATTTTATTTTACATTTTGCTTATTTAATTGTAATATTTCGTAATTACTTTAATTTAATTTATTCACTTAAAAAATTATTTATTTATTATTATTTTTATTCATTTACTATTTTTGATCATTAGTTTATCTATATTATTTATTATTCTTGGCTCAGTCGTTTATCTTTCTTTGGTCCATTTGAAGTCCAATTAATGCAAACAACTTTACCGTTAACGAATTGTGCAACATACAATTCTTATATTCAGTTGGACGTGAGGTAACGCGTTAAATCCATTTGGGGGCTACAAATGTTATGCAACATTTATGTGACGTTGGGTCCATGCGCGTTGTTAAATGCGTAAAATACACACACTCGCACACACACAAACAAAGCTATGCAGCCCCCGCCCTACCCCTTCTCCTCTTTGTGCCGCTTGGCTGTTGCTGCCTCGGGGCAATAACCGCAGCGTGTCCTCAACATTGGCACACGAAAATAGGAGCCCAGCGCTGCCGACTGGCCGGACGGGGCAGCAGCCTGGGGCAGGAATCTGGGGGCAGGAGGCAGTGCTTCGAGGTGCACTCACTTGGCCGAAAATCGACCAAAGCTGCAGTCACGTTAAATTAATTTACCTGTGCGTCTGTATGAGCGCATGTGTGTGTGTGTGTGTGTGAGCGTGTGCGTGTGCGTGTATTTGTTGTGTGTATGCGCTCATTTCGCCTTGTTTGTGGGCGTTTTGTTTGTTTGTTTGTCAGCAGGTGTTATTTTGTGCCCCAGTGCTGTGTACGTGGCGAAAATGCGTTGCCAATGCCATCAGAGTGCTTCTGTTGTTACTGCCACACACACACATACACCCATACACCCATACATAGCTAGCGGCCATTGCAGCAACAAAAGCTATTTACACACACCCAGGCACAATCTCACGCTTAACAGGCGCACTTTTAATGACCGAATGCATTTTAATCCAAAAACAGTTTGCAAACTCACGTAAAATCCAAGCGAAAATTGCTTTTGCAAAATCTCTGATGGAAATTGAAAATTTGTTGATCAGCAAAAATATCGCTTATATACACAGCTATACTATTGCCAAAAGTCCATCAAAGTTTATAGAGTCATAAATGGGATCGGAATTCTATAATTTGCAATGAAGAAACGTGCAGAACATATATTTAATTGCTTACGTTTATAATATATTGGAATATTTGTATATGTTTGGGTATTTTCCTTTTCAAATTTACCATGCCTTAGGAGAGAGCAATTAACCATTGACTAGCTTCTGCTGATGTCCCATTACTATTCAAAGAACTTATAAGACTAATGAATTTACATCTGACTACAGTTCATTTATTCCCAATATTATATTCTATTAAAAAGTTCACAGTTCACACCTAAATACTTTGGTACAGCTTACAAATTATTATTGGCTCAAATTTTGTAATAAAATATGTTTTGATTGTGTTCATGAACATGCATGAACATAGAAATATGATAAGTATGCCCAACATGGAGTCTTACAAACTCAGCGATAAGATAATGATATGTAATAGGCCACACTCACAATAGATGCACTAGATTAAAGGGTTGACAATATGCATAAGTCTGGTCCATTTATTATTATTTTAATAAGTAAGAACACTAAAATCTGACTCGGCCGACTGCATATTACTCAAATAGTAAAAAGCCTAATGGACGAGCGAAATAATATATAGGTTAGTGGGACGACTTGATAAATGTGTTTTTCTCACATAATTTAAAAAGGTAACTGTAATATGTAGCTATATAAAATATATTTATATTATTTAATAAATATGCAATTTATGAATAATTGAATATATATTTTGAAAATGCATTTTAAATAAATAAAAATAGGTAACTGTGAACATATTTATTTA